ATGTTTGGGGAAGAGAATACCCTGGACACGTGGAGGACCCCTATTGGTGCTCCAAGATGACTCATGAGTCATGCCCAGCTTGGACGGCCGAGATCACCACCACTAGCGTTGACAGATGCTAAGTATGAGGGCCGAGGTGAACCTGGCCGAGGTCCAACCTACCGGGAAGCTCGGTGGGGGCCGATGTGAGCTACTGTCAGCGGCGTGATTATCGGGTGTAACCGTCGGTCCCGAGATTACCGGGTGTAACCGACGGTCCCGAGATTACCGGGTGTAACCGTCGCGAGATTAGCGGGACTACCACCCATAAGTAGAGGACCTCACTCCRCGATCAGGTACGAYGATTTCTGACCTCGAACTAAACTRGGAATCCGACCTATACTGACTTGATCGTCGGAGTGCTCACCTTTTTGTGCAGGTCCGCCCAAGTATTCAGATCGGTCCGGAGGCCGAGTTCGAGCTGCAATCTGAAATACACTCTTGTGCATATCCTTGCATAAACAATGCTAAATTTAGGAAGTAAATTTATAATTGAGCTCATAATAAATTTGAATTCTAAAAAAAATTTGTAGAAGTAGAAAAGAGACAGTAAAAGAAATCGTGACTTGAAGATGCAATCTTAAGAAATTCAAAATAAAGTAGCGTCGGGAAAGCGCCATCCGATGTGGCAGCCAAGACTGGTTTGGCGGTTGTTCGGTGTTGATCGACGCAGCGATGAAAAAATTTGGTTCATGAATCTGAAATCAAGAATCAAGGGATCGTCTCTCCCGAAGTCAAATCATTTTCATGTCGTTTCAGAGTTTGAAAGATACCCTAAAACCCTGCAAAAGCCTCTCGACATCGGCCTCTGCACCCGCTTCTCCGATTTCTTCACAACCCTCGCTCTTTCAAGGATCTGAGGTTAATTACCTTAGAAAACCCCCCAAATCCTCTCTCTCTCTGCAGCTCCTGCGCCTACAAGATTCCTTTCCTCCGCCTGAGAATCGAACGCACTGTCAAAACCAGCGGACCCAGATTAGGGTTGAGAAAGGGGAAGGGGAAGAGGAGGAGAATGTGGTGGAAGAGCAAGAACCAGACGTGTTGAGGAGATGCCAATTGGGCCAGTTTCAATTTGATCATACAGGACCATTTGAGCCGTTGATTTTGTCGTCTGAGGGTGATATTCCGCTCATACAGGTCTTCCTTCTTTTCCATTCCTTTTAAGCAAATGGAAGTTTTTCGTCTTGTAATGAAGAAAGACCTACAAATGGTCTTCTGTTGGATGGCAATTAATTCTGAGCAGAGGGGAGTGGGCTGGGATATGAGGAGCTATAGGCTACTTCTGAAGTTGCTAAAAGGAATTTTAACATATTCATTAGATCAGCGGGTGCAAGGTTTGGCAAAATTGCTAACTTTATCCCCCTGATTGATGGAGTTTTTGTTTACTGTATTCCGTTTTTTTTTTTTATTTAAAAGTAATTGTTTTTTTTCCCTTTCTAAATATACTTGGTCAAATTTAAATAATAAGATACACATTTTTTAAAACTCTTTTTTCTTTTGAAGCTCAACCAGGGTGTGGATTAAAACTTCTGAAAAATTCTTGCTTAGCATATGAAATGTCCTGATTTAGTAGACAACTTAGCCAATGGTTTAGGGCGATCTTTCCCTTTGGATTTTAGATTTTCCATATGATTATGTTTGAAGACAACTAGATTGTTTTTACTAGTTTGTATTGAAGTTACTCTTAATCTGTTCCCCAGTGTTCATTAGAATTTATTTTTTCTGTATTTTTGACCACATTTGATGCAATGCTAGTTCCTGGTTTGAATTAAGTTTACTACTAGGTGAAGCTCTAAAGACTAAATGAATCTTTTATTGTTTTCTCGTATTTTTGGCTTTGATTGGTTGCAGGTGCCTCCATCTATCAATTGTAGGTTACTTGAACATCAAAGAGAAGGTGTAAAATTCTTGTATGGTTTATACAAGAACGGCCATGGAGGCATTCTTGGAGATGACATGTATGTATAAATATATCAAACGAAAGTTTCTCGACTTAGTTCTTTATTTTTCATGTATACTTCAAGGTTTCAATAATGCCTCTGTGATCTGATATGCTCCACGTTTCAGTTGAAATTGTTGTTTTCATGCGACCTTTCCATTCTCTTGGAAAAGGAATGAAAATGTAGACGTCCCAAGAGACACGTATTAAAACATGTCGATGAATGAGGAAGTACTTGAAATAATTTAGATTTAGAAGTATCTAACTTTTAACTGTTATAACAAAACTTAGACTTACGTAGTTGCTTGTTAGATCCTAATGTTTAATTAATTACACATGTACTTTCTGTACTTTGTCAATGGTACCTATGTGGGTCGTATCTTGCAAATTTTACTTTCTTGTGTGAAGTAAATTTTGTCAATGGAACCTATGTACTTTCTGTTCATAATTCTGGTGCTACAACGTAATTGTTCCTCGTATTCTGAAATGTGATCAGGGGGCTTGGAAAGACTATTCAAACTATTGCTTTCTTGGCTGCGGTGTATGCAAAAGATGGAGATGGAATCCAGAAGGAAAATTATGGAAAGAAAAAGGGTCCTGTATTAATAGTGTGCCCCACTTCAGTAATCCATAACTGGGAGAATGAATTCTCCAAATGGGCCAACTTCAGTGTTGCAGTCTACCATGGGGCGAACCGCGAGTCAATTTACGATAAACTAGAAGCAGGTACTATGGAGATACTTATCACTAGCTTTGATACATACAGAATCCATGGTGGCATTCTGTCAGAGATCAAATGGGAGATTTTGATTGTCGATGAGGCTCACCGACTTAAGAATGAAAAAGCGAAACTCTATAGCGCATGTGCAGGAATAAAAACCTTGAAGCGCTTTGGTCTAACTGGAACTATAATGCAGAATAAAATTATGGAACTATTTAATCTCTTTGATTTGGTGGCACCTGGATCCTTAGGTACTCGGGAGCACTTTCGTGAATTCTATGATGAACCTCTTAAGCATGGCCAAAGGTCAACTGCTCCTGAAAGATTTGTACGGATTGCAGATAAGAGAAAACAGCATTTGGCTGCAGTTCTTCATAAATATATGCTAAGAAGGACAAAGCAAGAGACTATTGGGCATCTTATGCTGGGAAAGGAAGATAATGTCGTCTTCTGCGCCATGAGTGAACTACAAAAACGGGTTTATCGAAGAATGTTACAACTGCCAGATATCCAATGCCTTATCAATAAAGATCTTCCTTGTAGCTGTGGTAGCCCTCTCACCCAAGCTGAGTGTTGCAAAAGGACCGTGCCAGATGGAATCATCTGGCCTTACCTTCATAGAGACAACCCAGAGGGTTGTGAGTCATGCCCCTTCTGTATTGTTCTTCCTTGCCTTGTCAAGCTTCAACAGGTAATGTTTTCTCTTTTCTGATATGAAATGAGAAACTATATTATGAGTACATAGTTCACTGAAGTATTAGGTACGATGAGAAGTCCCATGTAATATTGCCCATAAATTACAATCTACAACACATAGGCTTTAACTATGTGCTTCTTGTAACATTCCTTGTGCTTCCTTAACATCAAAAGTTATCTATAGGAGAATGTGCATTTTCTTCTTGAAATGAGAACTAACTGGATGAAATCTTAGATGTCATATTGGTGGATAATTTTGATAACATTTTGTTGAACACATTGTAGTTACTGTTGGTGCGTTGAGAACATTTTGTTGAACAGAATAGATATTTATTTGTGAACTATCCTTACTTTTTACATGGTAATATAAATTCTCTATAGCTTAGCTGTTGGTGTGTTGTCACCCTACTGCTTTGAACTTCTGTATAATTTTAGATTGCTGCTGGCTATGGATATTTATTGAAATTCTTAATGGCAACTCTCAGATAAGCAATCATCTGGAGCTGATTAAACCAAATCCTAGGGATGACCCTGATAAACAAAGAAGAGATGCAGAATTTGCTTCCATGGTCTTTGGCTCTGACATCAATCTTGTTGGAGGTAGTGCCCAGAACGAGAGCTTCATGGCCCTTAGTGATGTTAGACATTGTGGTAAAATGAGAGCTTTGGAAAAATTATTTTCCTCTTGGGCTACACAGGGTGACAAGATTCTTCTATTCAGCTACTCTGTCAGGTTGTATGCCAAAATATCAATCAGACTATCATTTCACCTCTAGAAAGATCAAAAGGCTAATTTTCTAGACTTCTTTTTAACTGAAAATCTCTCTTCACCTTTTTGTTGTTTGACTGCTAGATGTTATTAGGAGTTTAGATAGGTCAACATTTCCCTCTCTGAAGTTTAATAGCCATTTTCAGGATGCTGGACATATTAGAAAAGTTTCTTGTGCGTAAAGGTTATTCCTTCTCGAGACTTGATGGCTCCACTCCGACCAACTTGCGTCAAACTCTTGTTGATGACTTCAACTCTAGTCCCAGCAAGCAGGCGAGTTCTTGAACTTAAAAATTGAACCAAAGTAGATTCAACATGTGTGAGATTCTAACATGTTTTTTTTTCTCAGGTGTTCTTAATATCTACTCGAGCTGGTGGCCTTGGATTGAACCTTGTCAGTGCGAACAGAGTGGTGATTTTTGATCCAAACTGGAATCCTGCCCAAGACTTGCAGGCACAGGACAGGTCATTTCGCTTTGGGCAGAAGCGTCACGTTGTTGTTTTCCGCCTTCTTGCTGCTGGTTCGTTAGAAGAACTTGTTTACTCGCGTCAAGTATACAAGCAGCAGTTATCCAACATTGCTGTCTCTGGGAAGATGGAGAAACGATATTTTGAAGGTGTTCAGGTAAATTCTTCATTTTAAGTTCAGAAGTATATACAAAGTTCTGCCCACTTTAACACTTGCGGTTCCCTTTTCCAGGATTGTAAAGAGTTCCAAGGTGAGCTTTTTGGCATATGCAATTTGTTCTCTGATCTATCTGATAAGCTCTTCACTAGTGAGATTATTGAGATGCATGGGGAAAAAGAAATGAAAGAAGGGCACGCCCCTAACACAAACCAGAACTCCTCCAAAGCTGGGACTTCTGTTCCTTCTGAAGAAACTGATGCAGTCAGTTCTATAGTCTCTGAACCCCGAAAGCCAACTCATTCAGGAAAGACTGCCCCCATTAAACCTACGCTTGAAGACTTGGGTAAGTTTCTCTCTGTTATCCCCTCTTGCATCTCCAGTTCTGAGCATTCATTAGTAGGTTTTCTTTCTCTTTTTTTTCTCCATTTTTTTTTCTTCCTTCTCCAATCATTTGAGATATATATATATCTGGTCATTTTATGACGGTACTCTGGGTTGGAGAACGTGTTTTTGCGTATGTTTAGACATCGTGAAATGTGGTCTTGTTTCGTCAAGATCTGAATATTTTATAACATGCAATTCTTATAATGAAGATCATCGTTTTGCAGGTGTTGTATATGCACATCGTAATGAAGACATAGTCAATAATGGACCTGGAACACAAGCAAAAATGGTCGTGCCAACAGCTCAAGATTGTGCACGCAGGCAGTGGCGCATTCCTGAGATAAAGAAAAGGAAACTGGACAGTATTAGTGAGACAGATGATTTATCTTCATCCATGGACCGAAAGAAGATCCAATACCGTAAGCTTGCAGGATTCATGGGAATGGGCGCTTTAGAATTCAGCAAATGGTTGCTATCTGCAACCCCAATGCAAAGGGAGAAAGTACTTAAAGACTACAAGAATAGAGAGAAAATACCAAATGGCTGAGTCACCCCTCCAATGTTGGCTTCGACTTAGTCTCCTTGTATAAATTTAGTGAAAATGTAGAGGCAGTGATTTCTAACTAGTAGATGATGTAGAGTGTTAGATTAGGCTATGTTGTACAGAAAATAAACTATGACATAAAATGAAATGAATGTTCTTCCTTCAAAATTGTTCCATATCTTGAATTTAATCTGTTAGTCAGAGACAGCTCATCAATCCTTCAGCCTTTTGCAATCTAAGGCACTAGTTATCCTTACCTTTCTATCTTGGTACAGTTGGAGAACCAGATCAAAGTTGTAAAGAACTCGAACGAAAATTTACCCAAACTAGCATATAAAACCAAGAACATTTGACAACAATTTCTTTTTTTATGTATGTTGTTGTAGTGTGCAGCTAGCTATCTTCTTTGCATCTTGAATCTGGATACTGGTTTTGAAGGTTGAGAACTCGAGGGCTGCCAAGACAAGAAGTAATTAGCTTTTACAACAACGAATGAACGAGCCAGAATGCTGACAATAAGAATGGTGTAAACTAAGCAATAGCAAACCTACCATCTGCAGTGGAGTTTCTGTTTCTTGTTTAGAAGTTTTGGATATAATAGGAGGCCGCTCTATAATAGATCCTGTAAAAGCCTACACAAAAGAGAAACGATACAACCATGGATTAAAAAGGCCAGAAATTATAACTTGCCTTGATTTATCTGATAACAACTCAAGATTAAGCAAGGAAAATCCATATTTTGCAACCAACGGAGCATCTAAAAGATCAGATATGATAAACAAGCTTTAAATTACCTCACTTGAAGATGGAGGCAACGTTTGATTCTTTTCTCTTGCTTCAGCAAACGTTACAGACTTTGCAGCAGAACTAGGGTTTCTCACTCGTTGAGTCGAAGAATTGTTGCCATGCAATGTGTCTTCTAGAATAAGTTATGACAGAGAAATCATTCTTAACAGTTATAGTTGGAGCAGATAAGAAATGGTGGTAAAAACGGTTTATAAATCCTATAGAAATAGTAATTATGACTAATGAGTAAGAAACATGAACTTAATGCCACACGGATATGTCAAGCTACATTTGATATTTCACAGATGTAGTTGAAAGAAGAGGTGAAGAGTCTGAAGACTAACCTCTGGCTAAAGATTGTACTGACAAACCTGTACACTGCATAATAAAATATACAAAATATAAGAATGAATGTTTGTTTTAATGAAACAATTGTATTAACTAGATAACAGAAATATCAATGCTAAAAAAGAACAAATAAGAGCTTGGTCACATTTGATGGATCGTTAGAAGCTTCTTCTTGCTGCTGATACTTGCCCAGTGGCTCTTCACTACCTATGTTTTTTTCCCTCTGCCACGGCGATGTACTCGTCTGAAAAAGTTTCAAAGATACCAATCATCAGAATTGGTTAATGGGTACATCACCAATCCATCTAGTAAGTTTGTGGATGACCATCTGTTTCTGTGAGCTTTAAACCTCCGAGTCAAGGCATCTAATCCTAACATTACCTTTGAAAATCTGAGTTCCTCATCATGAAACTTCTCTAAAGATTGATTTGAAGTTCCTTTTTCTTCCTCATCTTCTTCATCACCTTGGTTGTCGTTTCCAGCCGCAAGTTCTTCTTCCTTCTCAAGCTCATCCAATCTGGCCATTATACGGGCATACTCTTCATCTTCTTCAGTTATTTTTGCTTTATCAACTTCAGGAACACTGTGAACATCTTGCTTGTTTACTCCTGAAAAAAGAAACGTTAACAATGGCAGATGTGAGCCATGGAGTTCATATAACCAAGATATCATCGTAATTCATCAGTTTTTACCTGAGCCTACAAGTAGTTCTATTAATATCCAATAATGCTTATGATGCATACAAAAGAATGTGGGAACTCCGTAGAGTTAAGAACATTTATTCATATTTGCAATAAGGCAGACAAAGCCTCATGTCTTACAATACCAAATTGTCAGTGCAGAGATACTTCATAAACAGTACAATTGAGAGGAAGCAAATGTGGAACGTCAAATGACAGCTTGACTCACACAATTGACTCAAGACTAGCTAGTACTTCCCGGAAGAGTCTCTTAATAGTTAATACCAACTAAATCTTAAGCAAAACTTAACACGCCAACAAAAGGAGGGAAAAGATATAAGAGTCTACCTGATTCGGGTTCCCGCTCACTAGAGTTTTCCTCCACATACTCCTCTTTTATCTCAACCAGACCCTCCTGTTGGAAATATGAAATGAACATCGATAAGATTAATTTTGTGATAATCGGGCCAACATAGCTAAAGTACATTTTCCTAGCTTCTAGTTCTAGGTAAAGCTCGTCGTCTAGAGAATTTTGTAAATTTTTTTTTTCTTTTACCCATAAGGCAACTAGAGTTATGGCCTTATGAGAATCTAAACTTACTGCAGCTTCAGATGCAGTAGCATCAAAAAATGAGGCCTCAGCTTTAAGATCGTCCATCATGGCCTTCAGAGAATCAACTTGAGAATCCAAAGCTTTACCTCTCCTTTTCAAGATCTCGACTGCTTGTTTGGATGTTCTCTCAGCATAATAACCTTCTCCAAGAAGAACCTGCACTTGGATTTAAGTCTGGCTCTCAACTCGATGTCTTGACAAGAAAAACTCCCCACATATTCTGTCCAGAAAACTCAGCATAAACATTTCCAATTTAGTGATCAAAACCTAAACGGTGATCTTATGTCGCCCATAAATGTTCTCTTTTCGCTTAATTTTGCAACTCAGCATAAACATTTACAGATGTACTCAGAGAGTAATATGAGTCGTTTGGCTATGGAAAAAAGAAGAATGATAGAAACCAATCCCATGTGCTTCACTGAAATAAACAGCTACTTCTTGAAAAGCAACAGGAATATCTACATTAAGAACCCATGGGCGAATTATATCCTGACCCTTCTCATCGATGAAATAGAAAATAAGTTTCCAAGAAACTAGTTCTTTGAGCGTACGAATGCATTACCAGAAACTCGTTGGTATGAATCAAACGCCCAGGGAAAAACGCTGCCTTCCCAAATGGAACCTACCAAATAACCACAGTGAACCACCAAAAACAACTCATCAAATGATCAACACAATCTCAATCGAACATAAAAATTGGAGCACAAATAACTGTAAAAACGCTCAACACCCAATATAAGGGAAGAAGCAAAGGTACCATAACTTCATGGTAGAGCTCTTCAGGTAATTTCTGGACGAGGTTGATCAGGTTAGCGTTATCAGAGATGAAACCTCGGAGACAGTCAAGCTCCTTCTGTTTCTCAGAAAGCGTATCTTGGACACGCGCCGCTGCCTTGTGTGCATCCTCGGCGGGAAACAAGGAGGACAGAGACGTCACCGTTCCCTTCGCTCCTCCGGCTTCCATGGTCACACCGCTGCCTTGCGAGACTCGAGTCTAGTCCAAGAGCGAGTAAAAATAACAGGGTCGCTCTAAATTGGTCGACCCAAATTCTGGTCCGAACCCGAGTAGCTGTGTTTATACCTTTTAAAAGATCGAAATGTCATTTCCATGCCCAGAACCAATACCCACCGTACTATAAGACATTTTACAAAACAATTTATAAATAAAACGCGAAACTTTCTTTAATAATTGTATCATTTAGATTAAGAAAGCAAAGGTTTTGGATTCCCAGAGAACATTGTCTATCAAGTTCAATTAGGGGTTGGCCTGGGTGGAAAGATTTTTTGGACCAACTCGAATTGGGTGGTTCAGTGACCCGATAGAACCGAATTTATTGGACAACCCAACCCAACACGGTCCCGGGTTGTTTTTCTTTTCCTTCTTTTTTAGGTGTACAATCATTAGGAAAAAAAATACCCCAAACTGAAAATTTTCTAATGAGATGAAAGAGATATGAAGATGATCCAAGAATGAGAGATATTGGGGCAAGATTTGGAACAGAACATGGTGAGGTTGGGTTCAATTGCTTTTTTTTAACCATATTTCAAAAAAAAAAAAAAAATCACGCACATGAAGAACAGCGGCGACGGTGGAGGAACAGCAGCAACGGTGGAAGGACAGCCGCGATGGGAGATGGACGGGAAACGAACAGGAACGGCCAACGGCGGAAATAAATCGTAAGTGTGAGAGATGGTGAGATCGAGATTGAGAAGAGATAAGATTGGGCGAGACTGAGAGAGGTGAGATTGAGATTTGAGAGAAGAGAGAGACTAGAGAGTGATCGAGAACCGGGTGGTGGAGGCCGTGAGATCCAGAGGCGAATGCTGAAGAGGCGGCAGTGAAGTGAGAGAAATAATAAGAAAACCTAATTACAAAACCCTAACATATATATACCGGTTCGGTCTGCTTGAACCGAACTAATCGATTCTTAATTTCTTTAACCCAACCCAAATCGAAAACTTATCTAACCGTCGGTTGGGTTCTTCGAATTCTTCGGATGGTCGGATTTTTTCCTAAAGTCAACCATTAGCAGCCTGCCTCTAATCCATCCAGCTTCGCATCAACAAAAACACGCACGCGAGCTCTTTTGTCCAGAATGCGTAAATTAATTATTGAATAAAATAATTGTATTTTTGTACAGGGTTCGACTGTACTATTTGGCATTTGTTTATAAGTATAGCTGGATCAGCGGCATCCGGTGAACCAGGGCTTCCGATTTTGCTTTTGCTTGAGAAGGTTAATTAGTCGTTCAGCTTTCACCATCTGTATCCGATTGTGGGTGTCGTGCTTCTTGGTAGTTCTTGTGGTTGACTCAAATTGAAGCAATCGAGTTCTCTTTTAAGCTCTGTGCTCAAATGGGTTTTGTTGTATTTCTCTGGGATTTCTGTTGTCGATTCGAAACACTGGGATTTATGGTTAATAATTGGAGTTGAATTTTGGGCATTATTTTTCCTGATATGGTGAGCAGAGGACGTTTTGGTTTTTCGGAGTGCCAGAGAAGATTAGGAAATTTTTCCCGAACTGTTTTTGCTCTGTGGGCTTTTCATTTTTTGGTTTCCCAGCCTGTGGATGGTCTGAGACCATTGCGGGAGAGGGCTCGGTCATGGGGCGATGAGGTTGGTAGTGTTCACTTTTTTTTTTCTTCTTTATTTTAATGGTTTAGTTCATTGATTCTGGTTAATGTTCTTGATCAATTTGGTGAAAATTAGTATAGTTTCGTGTATTGTTATTTAAGTATTTTTTAGCCGTATCATTTTTGGTTTAATCAGTCGGTGTACAATATACGGTGCAATTTGACTCGATTTCATGAGCTTCAGATGATTCCGGCTTTCTTTGAAATGTCTCAATAAGCTGTAAAAGCATGAGCAAGAGAGATTTTTTTTCCCCTCAAAATAACTTTTGGGTGACTTGCTACGAACACCATATCCCCATTGAAGTAGTTGCCGTTATCCATAAATTAGAAAGTAGCTGAGATTCATGCTCGAACAATATTTGGACGTGGCAATGGGAAAGTGGCAACGTGCTGAACTTTGTTATACGAAATTTGGAAACACATTGTCAATTTTAAAGACTTAGCTCAACTGTAGTAGAAAGCATTTTTTAGCCTCAGGCACGCGATTAGGTGATGCCATTCCACAAATTGTAATGGATTATTGTTTCTCCTCTTTAGCCTCTATTGCTAGGATTTCATTTCGTTTTTAGCATTTAGCTCCTCGATTTATTTCGGTTGAAACTCTTCCTTTTAGTTCAGTTGTTCAACATTTTATTTTATCCAATTCCTCATGTTTAGTTGTCAGTCAAATTTCTATTCCATTTGATCCTGATAGTTGCACCCTTTTTATGATCAGATTTTGAATCTGTAACTGTGAAAAATATTGGTCAACTTTGTTAATATGTTATTCTGATACCTTTTTATTTGTTTTTTTTTTCTTTTGCAGTGGTTGTTCGTAAGAAAAGATAAGAGTGATTTGGGTCCATTTTCTGAATGGAATATTACGGGAACGTATAGAGGTTTGTACTCATCCATCATGGCCAGATGTTCTTCTTGTTATCAAGTTTTAAACTTGAGCTACTTCATTATTTTTACATGATTTTGTCTTGTGTGGTAAATGTTTGAACTCACTTGTGTCAAGTTTAATATGTATCGCCTTACGTAGTCACTATAAATCATTTGGGAATATTTCTTGCAGAAAATTTGCTGTGCTTGATGATTTTTATTTCTTACTTCCGTCCAAATTTGAGGAGAAAAATCAAATTTTCATCAAGAACAATGAAACAAAAAAGAGGGCATACAAAAAAACAGTCCAACAAAAGGGAGCCGAACTAAAAAAATGGGCTCCAATCAAGTTTCTTATTTTCGTCCAACTAAACTACCACTATATTACTTGCAAAAAGTGCAAATAGAATGGGTTTAATGGGGACTATATTTCTTACGCCAATTGGCGACTATCTAAAAAGTACTAAGTTTGTGCATGGAAATGTGAATTGCAGGCAGTTGGAGTTTTCTAGATTCCACAAATAACTCTTCCAGGTTTCCAGATTTCAGAAATTCCAATGGCAATTCAATCATTGAATTAATTAGTACGCCAACAAAAATATCTGGTGTACATTATGTTCAGGTGAGGCATTTGGTGAAAATATTTGACCATTCAATTTGTCATGTGTAGATGCTGTAGAGACAAATGGATTATGTATTTATGTACTTGACAAATTTAGTTACTAAGAACTTCTGGCTCTTGTACACTAGAACTTCTATGCTCTTGTTTTCCATCTTTTCTCCCGATAAATCTCTTCCACGCTGGATGGATCTTTTTCATTCTTTTGGTATTGAACTTCCTAAAATTAGACTGGCTTTTGATTGGGTTAGCCCCTGGGAAGTTATCTCACAAATATTAACCTGGATTTCTAAGTCTGAGCCCTGTTATTCCACAACTTCCTGTCAATAGTTTCCACGTAGAAGTTTAATATTCCTACTCTACAAATCTGGTGCCATCTACTTGGTGTCCGATCAAAAAATGTCTCTTCACTTCACCCCAGTCCTATCTTCAAATTAATGTTATTACAATTTACAACTCAATAGAAACTGGCTCTATTGCATGTTGCCAATACCAATGGAAGTGTTCACTTGACATGATATTTCCTTCTTCCTTTTTTTTTTTTTTTGGGATAAGAAACTGATAATATATGTCACTTGCCATGATATTTCTGTTCTATCTGGAGCTTGTTTTATGTCTTTCAATTTGCTTTTGACAGGGGGTTGTTATTTTCCATGATGTAATTGATAATGAACATGATGTTGCTGGAGTTCAAATTAAGGTTGAGGGTGTATATATTTGGCCTTTTAGACAGCTTCGGATGGTAGCTAACAGGTAAATTTCCAGTTACTAATATTTTCGCTGTAAAATCGTCGTTCCTTAACCTGTGTCTGTGATTGCCATCTTCATATTCGATGGGTTCACTTTTTAGGACATTGCAAAGGAGGTGTGCTAAATGCTATTTCCAGTCTCTTACAGCTCATCCTCTTTTTACTGTAGTTGCGTGGTTTATTATAATGGTGATTGTTGTGTTATCATGTTGATTAAATTATTAAAGCTGTCCTGGTTTTGTTATTTCAATTTTTACAATAATCTTATTCTCATTATCTATTTACAGTGGAAAGGGAGGAGAATATAAACAAGAAGTTGACAGTATCTTATCCAATCCTTATCATCTGGTTAGACTTTCTCCTCTGAGGATGAATGTTGTTATTCTTTAAATATTACATCTGATTTCATCATGTGAAATGTCCTTACTGATGAAGCTTCTTTATAACTTCTGAACAGCTTGGAGTTTTCTCCTCCCAGGTGTTCCAAGAATCTCCACAAGATAAGATGTGGAGAAGAAGCCATTGTAATTTTCTCTCACTGGACTTCAAACCCAATTTCCACTATGTCAGTACTGAATCTATTGTTTTTCATTGCAGCACCAATTTATGAAATGGAGAAGCATTGCAATATCGAGATAGCAGCTCAAATATCACATTTCTCCTCTGCACAAAATGGTACTTGATGTCTCAGCGTATGATTCTTGCTTTCTTATATGTTGTCTTCTCCCGAGTGTGTAGCTATCCTTGTTTTACCCAGTATATAAGAACTTCCCAATAAAGTGTATTTATGCAACTTTCCATGCCAAGGTTGTAGCATTTTCTCATGTATTCAGAAAGCCTGTGGATTGCCTGGATATTACCATTAACATATAGTTGCACCAGAGATATGGCAAATTCCCTATAAGGCGGTTTCATTCCCTTGTTTACCATTTCAACGTAAGAGAAAATATGCGTCTCCAATTTTATATCAACCAAAAAGCACTTCAACCATTATACCATAAATATCAAGTATCAACATCCTTTGTGCAACCCTTCTAATCCAAGTCAATCGAAGTCTGGAAAGCTCCATTTGCCAGTAAACATGTTATAAGTCTGCAAACTTGGGCAAGCAGCTGACTTCAATCTTTCTTTTATTACCACTGAGAACCTTGAGGAAACATTTATAAGCAACTATATCAGGAGGATAAAGTTTCTTTTACATTCTTCCAGAAACATGTAACCAGCAGAACTTTTCCGGCCACAGACATTCCTTCATTAGTTCCTTGTACATAGAAACATCAGGAAGGCAACCACTGCTTGTGATGTCTTCCAGAAACTTGAAGCATTCTTCTGTTCTACCATTCTTAACAAGAGCCACAATCATGGTTGTGTAAGTCTTTGCAGAGGGAAAAGACGGAGTAGAACCAATTCTTATGCAGCTGAAGAGTTTTCCTGCGTCTTCTCTCAGCATTCCTGTTCGCAGAAGTAATCGATAGTAGTGATAAAAGTGAAATCATCAGTTGTAGCTGAGTGGGACAATCTCTTTCAATACCCTGATACCTCCTCCTATCCTAACATGCACCAACCTAAAACTGTATATCACATGTGTCTGTCCAGCATCAGTTTTCTTCACCATCTTAAACAAAAATTCAGCTTCCTAGTATCAGAATTGCAATTTCGACCACATGAACTCAAAATCAGGTTTAGTAGCATCTCTGTTTATTTCTTCAAAATCCCCAATAGAACTTCAATAGGAACAGTATTCTTGTTATTTCTCTTCATATCGTTAATGTCATAAACAATTCAATACTGCGTGACCTTGTTTCTAGTGCAATAAGGTATATAAATCATGTCACTGTGAACCTGAGGCTTATGGGCATAGTTCTCTTGATTCCCAGCTATGTAATCTGAGCCCTAATTTTTTTAATCAAAACGAAGCTGATGGAGGATCTCAAAAACTAAATCAGCACTTGACTGAAACCCACTAGGTTAAAAAGAGCATGAAACTAATGGGGAGTCCTGCAGTAGATTTCTTTACTCTTGATCTTTTCTTAAATCTTAACTTCTCTTGTTAGTCATTTTTTTTACTTCATGACTTATATACCTTGCAGTAAATGGAGAACGTGAACATTACCATATTGAAGGATTAATGGAGAGTCCTGCAGTAGACGATGATGGAGATTGCTTCTCACCCTTAGTACTAAATGCCACTTCTGTTAACATTGAGATCTACTACAACAAAGCAGTGAATTATACCTTGATGGTCACTTTTGTATCCTTTTTTTGATTCCTGGACCTTTCTCCTACATTTCTATAATGAGTGCTTTTTCTTTTTATTTGAAAATAAAATTTAGTTGGATTTCTTAACAAAATTTTATCAGGTCTCTTTCCTTCAAGTACTTCTCTTGATTCGGCAAATGGAACATAGCAACACTCAATCTGTAAGGAATTCTACTTTTAAACATTTCTCTTGGGAAATACGTATAGCTCCCATGGATTCTGATACTGGTTATGTGCCAGATATTGATACTCTACCTGTACCACTTCTTTTAAGCTATAGTTTCTGGGTCATTCAACTCGTCAATGCCTTTAACTTTGCCATCTATATCTTGCAGGGTGCAGCCAAAGTTTCAATACTAATGATCGGTCAACAGGCTATTATGGACGCTTATTTATGTCTTCTGCATTTGACAGCAGGAATATTAGTTGGTAAGTTTAAATTAAGTTATGGTTTCCAGCTTCCCTTCTGTTACTTATAATCTACGGTCTAAAATTCCTCATTAGGACTTTATTATGGAATAAAACTTCAATTGTGAAATGGCCAAAAGCCTAGTAGTAAGTGAAATTGAGAAGAACTTTACCTTGGTACCTACCCCTCTGCGACTTTCTTAGAAGTATCCTTAGGATATTGAGAGGACACTGATTCTTTAGGGAAATACACTGTGATGATTATGTTTTGAGGATTGAGAAAACTTGAAAAAGAGAGGATAGCTGGGAAGTTTTCTAGTTTGATACTCATGGAAGGAAGACTTGCATCATGTTCCTTGAAGACTGGGGCCAAGAGGGGTGGAAGAGCTTCCAAAGAATGATAGAAGGGTATTCAATGTTATTAATGCAGGTACAAGAGGAAAGAAGTGTTGCAATTGAGGCAAGGAGTGGTCTGGATGCAGACACTGTTAGTTGGGATATTGCGATAGTGATAACCAAGAAATTATTCCATCAAGATGGAGTCTGCTAGAAGGCCTTACTCAAGTCTAACAGTAGTGAAGAATATATTCAAGAGGGGAAGATACAGAATCCTATGAAAGCTATTACCATTGACAAAGAAGACTTTAGGAAGCCTCAGTAGGCTTTGAGTTTGAGACATATGGTTTAGAAAAGGAGTGATCTCCATCCCTCCTCTTCAAGTGGATATGAGGGACAATTCACGGGTAAATAGCTGAACCAACCATCATTTGATTAATGCAAGAAAATGACGGGAGTAATCGAGAAGGCCTTTCAGTTTTGGTGGGAAGGGAACTCAACCCCTGATATCCCTCCCTCCTCTTCAGGTGGATATGTCGTTGAAGCCAATTTTATACATCAAGGGCAATCGGTATAATTTAGCCTAGAGATGATATCTCGGTTGTTGCTGACTGAGGCCTCTCAAGTTTTCAGGACTACTTTTGGAGAATTCCAAAATGCTAGGAGTTTGGATCCCCCATCTAAAACTGCAATACGAGAACTATGTTGATAAATCATTTCTTGTAGAATATTAATAGTACGGTGGTTTTCTGTGATCTTGTCATATTCTTGTACAGAAGAGTTTTGTAGCCTCTATTTAATTTATACTGCCACTATGGTCTATTAAGGCATATCGGTCACATAGAAGTTGAAGTTGAATTCTTCAAAAGTAGAGATCATAGTTCCTTTGCGTGTAGCAAACCTTTGTGCTCTGGATCATTTCTTGTTATAGTCATCTTTTTTGTGTAGTTTAACATTTTAGGTTAATTATCCGCTCAGAACAATTAAACTTTTTCTAGTATATCTTATTAACTGGGCTTTGCTACTGTTTTTTTCTTCAGAATCCTTATTTAATGCATTTGCAACTGCTGCATTTTTCAAGTTCGTCGTGTTCTCAATTTTTGAGATGCGATATCTTCTTGCAATATGGAAAGCCAGTAGGCCCATGAACAGTGGAGAAGGTTGGGAAACCATGAGACGTGAACTTTCAGTTCTATATAGCCGTTTCTGTGAGTATCTTATTTCAACCGAAGTTTCTTCAATCTGCATATCAAATATACCGTGTGATTTTTACTGGGAAACTCATTAATATGACCTTTTCTACAAAGAGTGCATATCACTGTAATTTTCTGCTTAAATATATTTAAGATGATGTGCATTTAATTTCATCTCTAATATTTAGGTATCGAATCATGACCATCATTTGCTTGCCGGTTCTGTTTAAATTCTTGAACCTCTTAATCAATCTTTCATGACTATCTGCAGATGGAATCCTTTTGGGAGGCATTTTTATTATGTACGAGTTGCATCGTTTTCTGAGACCAATTCTTCTCCTCATGTATTCCTTTTGGATACCTCAAATAGTCACCAACGTTGTTCGGGACTCGAGAAAACCTTTGCACATATATTACATCTTAGGCATAACTGTGACTCGGCTCGCAATTCCAATGTATGTCTTCGGCTGCCCCCACAACTTCATGCGTATCCAGCCTGACAAAACTTGGTGCATTTGTTTGGGCGTCTTTACTTCTCTCCAAGTGGCCATTCTTCTTCTTCAGCACTACCTAGGATCCCGGTGGTTCATCCCTCGTCAGGTTAGGATCGACTAATACTTTCTTGCATCTTACCCTTCGTGATGTTGTCGTGCCCCCTGCTTAAACCGGTGTATGAATTTATCATATTGCTTTTGCAAATTTGTTGCAGATTCTACCCGAGAAATATAGCTACTACCGGAGGTTAGATCAAAATGGGAACCACGCCACGGATTGTGTTATTTGTATGACCACCATAGATATTACACGCCCCAACGATTGCATGGTATGCCTGCACGAATCTTCGTTAATCTATCAGCATCCCGCTAATTTCTCATGATCAACGCTAACTCGGTGCCTCGTATCATATAGATTACACCATGTGATCATTTCTTCCATTCGGGTTGCTTACAAAGATGGATGGATATCAAGATGGAATGCCCGACTTGTCGCCGTTTGCTGCCGCCTGCCTGATTGTACCTAGTAGCATCGTATCTACATCCATTTACAATCAACTGACATTGCATTGCCTTGCCCCCAAATTTTGGTACGTATGATCTGGGTTTTGATACGAGACATTATTTTAGAAGTTCTTCAAATTCAACTGCATTGCAAATGGCTCCATCTTCATGTTTGCAGCCATTTGTTTGTCTCAGGTTGGGAAAACAAGAGCAGATTTGAAGCAGCTTTTTAAGATGTAATGTAGAGGGTTACAAAATGTGAGGCTTGGCTTCATCAACAAACTCATCCACTGGCTGATCTGTATTGTTTGTATAATGTATATCTTTTCTGTACATTGATACAATATCTGTAGTTCATTAGGGTTGTACAAGTCACTAAAATTTCTTCTTACTTAGAATCTTTGTTTTCTGTTTAAAGTAATAAAAGTTGTTTAAGTTTTAATTTGCACTGCATTGGACTCTCCCAGGGCAGGGGATCATTCTAAAAAATATATAAAAATAATAATTAAATTTTAAAAAATAAAAAATAAAAACGACATGTCCAAAATAATTACAAATTTAGCACCAGCTAAAAACATAGATACCTATACTATTAAATTATTATATTTGTAAAATATTATATTTTTTGCTATATTTATAAATATTATATAATTATCTGTCATCGATTACCATTTTAGTAACAAAAGCTTGTAACGAGTGACATTTATAATTGAATTTTTTGAAAACTAAACCGACAAACCGATCAAATTAGTAAAAGGACCATAAAATCAAATTTAAATCCGTAAAATTTATCAAAATCGAACTCATCAATTTATTTTTAAAACCTACTCTTTAAAAAATCTAACCAACTGGTAAATATAGTTCAAAATTAATCCATTCGATTGATTTCATAATACATAATATTTTCACTCGAATTTGCCCCTTTTGTATAAACAGAAATATAACCAAACAAAAAAGAAGAAAAAAGAAGTCAAAGCCAAAAAGAAAAAGGAAAATTTAATATGACAAAGACAAAACACACAGATAAGGGGTAAGTTCTAAAAATGGTCGTTAAAATAAGAAATTAGGAAAATTAATTTTAGAGAATATTGTATTTTAAAAACAATTGTCGGAATAGACAATTACATTAAATAACTTGGCAAAATCGTCAAATTGTCATGTATTTTGGACCAGAAGTATTTTTTTTTTCTTGGTCAACATTATTTATAAAATAATTCTAAAAAAACTACCGTATTCTAAAAATAGTTAAAAAACATATTTCTAAAATATATTTTAGACTTAATAATACTTTAAAAAAAAACCCTNCCCTTCTTTCCCAATGCTGAGCAATGATTTCCATTATTCGTTCGTGCGCCGTAAAAATTGGATTTTTTTTAATTGTATTTTAAAAAATATTACAGGAATAGAATTGTTTTGAAACTATTTTAAAAAATAGAGTGGCAAAATTACATGCCGAACTCACTTTCATTAGTAAATATGCGAATTCACTTTTATGTTTCACACATCAAATCCTGCGTGTCGTTTTTGTTGAACATATGTCATTCTCCGACTTTGACCACAAACTATCATACCTGTGTCATATTTTAGCTTATAGACTTTCTAGGTTAATTTACGTATTTTGTTATTACTTTCAAAATTACATTTTTTTTCTAAAGTTCATTATTTATTAAATTCACCCGTAAAAGCTCTCTTTTATTTTTTAAAAAATAGTTAATATATGAAACATATAATTTTAGGTCAGGCATTACTAGATAAAGTTTTTTTTTTTTTTTGCATTAATAATTAATTTTTATTAAATAATTAGGCATAATGACACTTTTGAAAAAATTGAGTTGATGGTTTTCAGAATATTTTTTTAGGAGGTAGCATTGAGATTCAACTTTTTACTTGTAGAATAAGGTTATTAATATGTCTTGATGATTTGAGTTTGAACTATTTACATATTCATCTTTGAAATTAATTCTAAAATAAATTATTTTTTCATTCAAATGCTCGTGTAAAATTTTGCATTCATTGTTAATATGAGTTTCGATTAGCGATAATTTATACTTGTCTCTGACCAAGAGATTATAAGTTTGAATCCTTACATTTATTTGTTGTACTAAAACAATTTGCATCAATTAGTATGAGAAGCCAGCCACTATGTCGTATTACCATTAGAACACAAAAAGAGAACAAAAAATGTATTCATGAGATAATTTTGCTATTTAATCTGGGGATTCGAAACTTCAACCTCTTTTTCTATGATACATGCCTTAACAAACCATATTCAAATTGACCCATCAAATAATACTGTATATCAATTTAAAAATATTTTTTCATTTGTATTTTTTTTTTTACTTTTTCATTTGTATTTGTTCACATAATTTCTATTATGCTTAATGAACGTTGTCAAACTAATTAAAATCAACAACCTTTACTCAATCATTAAGATATATATCATCAACTCAAAAGTCGAATATTCTATAATAAGTCAATTAATTTATGATTTTGAATTTTATAAAATTGTTGATATTTATTTCAAAATAAATGATTTGAATTCTACACTTAAACAATAACGTTTAATTTAAAAAGACTTATTCGTTTTGTTAAGAGAAAGAATGTGATTTTCATCATTTGTATGTCATAAACTATCATGAGAAGTGTACAGAAAAATTTGAAAATTAGCATCAATGTGAACATGACTCAAATTGACTTTCTTCGATCAAAAGATATCTATCTTAAACAAAAATGTGGTGAGTTTGAATCACCACTCCCACCTATATTGTACTAAAAAAAACTTGAAAATTAGCAAACAAATTTATTTGTTTTAAGCATGAAAATATTAATTTAATGTTTGCTAAATATATGCTTTCGTCTTATAATGTTTTTCAATTTAACTCTTTTTTAGTTTAAAGTAGTCTTTTATGTTTTAAAATTTCTTAATTTAGTCCATCATTATTGGTAAAAGGTTAAAGCTTATCAATGGTAAATTTATATTTATCATCTAAAATTATTATTTTTTAGTACAACAATTTGAGAATATAGGGGATGAAACCTCCAACTTCGAAAGAAGAAGTACATGTTAATTATCGTTGAATATGTTCGTCATCTAAAATTATTTAAACTCAATCAGTATTCAATTTTAACATTCACTAATGAAATTAAAAATATTAAAATATACCAAGATCAAATTAAGATTTTTTAAATAAACTAAATTAAAAAAATTCTTTCAAAAAAAAGAAAAGAAAAAACTTTATAGGGAGAAATTTGAACTCACAAATTGTTGGTTAAAACATATATTTAACGTTTAATCTAATTACAATTATATTAATGGGGTGAAGGAAATTGACGAAATTACCCAAGGTGACAGGCGGCCGTCCACTGCGCTAATATGTGCTTTGCCGTAACACATCTGATTCCGATCTTCTCTCTTAAAAAAAAAAAAAGAGTACTAATTATTATAAATTTATGTTAATCAGACAATAATAAAGCAAAGGAAGAAAAAAATTAAATAATTTTTAATAAATAATAACAAAGAATAAATTTGCAGCGAAAATCTCCCATCCTCCTCCTCGTCGTCTTCTTCTTCTTCTTCATTCTCCATTCTCCTCTTCTTCTTTTCTTCTTCTTCGTCTTCTCTGTTTCCTTAACAAAAACCTCACTGCTCGCACCGCAAACCGAATCCTTCTCTATTTCTCACTTTGTCAATGCCTGCGCATAAACGTTCTTGGTCGGACAGTCTGAACGGAGAAGAGCCTCGAGACCAACAATTCAGCCATCAAGATGCCAAGCAATCTCGAACGGAACGCGAGCCGAAGACTGAAATAGAAGCAGAAGAGGAGGAGCAGCAAAAGCAGCAGAAGGAAGGAGACCCAGATGATGAAGGGCGCGAAGAAGACGAAGGGGACGAACAAAAGCAACACAAGCAATTGGAGGAAGCGACCGGAGCGAGAGGTTACGTGTTTTCCTTTTTCCTTCTCCTTGGATTTTGTTTGCTTGGTTATTATGGTTCCAATTCCGTGCTTCTGCTTCTGCTTCTTGCTTGGTTTACCATTTGCTGAAGCTGGTCGTGTGTTTTCAGATTCCGAAGGAAGCCTATCCTCTAGCTCTGAAGATAAACCGGAGTACTTTCCTTTAAATCCTTCTACTTCTTCTTTTCTGCACGATTGCCATTTTCGGTAGTGTTCTATTGTTGTTCATTTGGAGCTGTATGGTGGTTTTTTTTTCCCCGAACATTTGCTCTCTTAATGCGTTCCCTTCATAGTTAAAGAAGAGAATGCGACTTAATAAATACAGCTGCTAAGCGCTGCTACTCATTTCGGCATTGCCGTGAGACGGCGCGGTTGACTTAATGAGCGGTAAGTAGTTGCATGCTTGGGATCCGGGTCTAGTTAATGCGTGTGAATTGCTACTCTTTCATGAATTTCAGAATTTCGTATTTTGTGATGCTGCGAGATTTGATTCTACAGTCTGATCCGTTGAGTTTGAACGAGCGCGGTTCCTGTAACATGACTGCGAAGTTGTATGTTATTTTGATAGTTATTATTCTACCCGTGCCATCCATAAACAAACACGCCGAAACTTTGTTTCCATTCGTAGTGGTTTTTCCGGAGCCTTTCGTTAGCTTTTGCAGTAACTTGTTTCCACTATCTAGAACTTCAGGAGGCATTGACTTTGCTCGAACCCCATTGTCTGTAGTGTAAGATACATCTTACTAACGTGGGTGTCTCCTACTTCATTCAGATCTGGAGCAGAAAAAGAATTTGACATTTAGCATTTAGGTTATTTCACATGATCACCATGACTTTCATTTTGTTGACAGTTGAATTTTAATCTTAAACTTTTAAGTATTAACTGCCGTAGTGGGCATTTTAGCCTCTGTTTTCACTGTGATTTTTCTGAGAAGCAAGGCTCTAAATAAGCCTTTCCAACCCATAAAACTTCCCGTATGGAGTTTGGGGCCTAAATTAATTTCTTAAGGAAATTTGCTCTTATAAATGCCAAGAGAAGATCTGTATTTTGTGCTTGAGGAGATTGAAAATATGAAGATTGTTCCGTGGAAAAACCAACTCTTTAATTTTTTTTTGTAAAATATAGAATGTCAAATAGCTTGTAGAAGGCTTGAGTATAGTCAATGAACTTGTCAGGGTGATTTGGAGTAAGAAATGCCCTAAAGTTATATTGTTCATGTGGACGTTGGTTCTAGAAAGTGTTGGAGAGGCTTTCCAGAATAGACATTTCTCCTGGTGCATCCTTTGCAAATATGCAGTGGGGGAAAACTTAAATCACTTGTTTCTAGGCTGCCCTTTGATTCAGAAGTGTTGGTGGAAGCTACTTCAAAGTTTTAGGCTAAGCTGGTACTTTTATATGGCCTTATTTGGTACTTATTCTCCTTCATGGAAGCACTTTTTTTCATGAAAGCACTTTTTTTATAGAAAAAAAGTGAAGTATGATAGAAAGGAATCATGGGTTTTCAATCTTTCCTTTAAGAGACCAGGTACAAGTTCAGTATGTTACTAGATCTACATCTACTTGGTGTACCCTAGTCTCCGTTGGCTAGGGCTTAGCCACTTTTTGTATTTTTCATATTCTTAATTAGAAGCTCTACATAGAAATCAAGATTCATTTTTAGTGTGAAGTTTTCCTAACATCTGGAATCATCCGTGCATAACCTATATACTTTCATTCTTATTAGAAATTGAGGATATTATTTGATCTATTACTTTTCTTTTCCTCCATCATTGTTGGTGGGTTCACACATATACCAGTTCTTGTAAACAATGTAATTATGTAAGGTGTCTGCATGAAACTCATATTGCCCTTGTAATTGTAACTACCTAAGACTGAACTTTGAAGTTCTAATCCTGAATATTTGTGGTGCAGATTTGTCTTTGTAGAGCTGTCAGGCATTCGGAGAGATGTGCAATGCCCAATTTGTCTTGGTATGTTTGCTTTAAATGTCGTTGATAAACATATGTTCTTCAAAAACCTCAATGATAAGAAAGCCAACTCTCAAGAAAACAGTAACGGGGAAATAGAGAGCTGGGGCACAGAATTTTGATTCGAGGGAAACAGAATAATCTTTAAGGGCTCGGAGTTTTTCTAACAGAAGATTTGAAGTGTGGCCATTTTAACCCTCTTTATTGGCTTTTTCTAACAGAAAAGTTGGAGACTGTTTTTTTTTTTTTTGGTTGCTGTTGCTGTTGTTGTAATTATTCTTTACTCTTAATTTTAAATGATTGGAGGCCCCTCCTTGTAACTTTTTGACTCTGGGTTGCACTTTCTTTCTCGAGAGTTTGTTTTTTATTTAAGAAAAAGGAAGGAAAATGGTAACAGAGAAGAAATACATGAATATTGACTGTCATGGCATATGTTTTATGACTTACGATTCAGATAAATCAGCATTTGGCTGCTGTTTAAAACTAGAGAGTTGTAAACTGTAATTGAACAAATCTTCTGGCTCCTCTTTATTTGAATTTTGAGGTAGATCACTTTGAAATCCTACCTTCTTTGTTTCTTATTAATCAAGTAAGAAAGCAGAAATCTTGTTGACCTTGACAGGGATTATTAAGAAAACACGAACCGTAATGGAATGCTTGCACCGGTTCTGTAGAGAATGCATTGACAAATCAATGCGGCTGGGGTATATGAATTAGTCCTTGTCATTTCTATACCATTCTATTTGAACTTTATGTTGGTTTCATCTCCTCACCTTATTGTTGAGTCTATTATGGAGAACTAGAATAAGTTATATACCATGAACTTATTGTATTATGTTTGTAACTTTAGGAACAACGAATGTCCTGCTTGCCGCACACATTGTGCCAGTAGACGTTCTTTGAGAGATGATCCTAATTATGATGCACTGATTGCTGCCCTTTATCCAGATATTGATAAATATGAGGAGGAGGTGTTTGTCGCTTGTCTCATATTTTGTTTTCTTTTTATATCCCTAATGGTGGCACTTATTTTCTGATTTTGGTCTCAGGAATTAACATTTCACGAGGAGGAAAGGAATCGTAATAAACAGGTCAGGTTCCATTCCGAGCTACATGTCTAGTCTGCTTGCATTTTATAGTACTTTAAGCTGAATTTTGAGATGTTATTTTCATCAATGAGATTTTCCTTGCTGACTCTCAGAACAACATTTTGAAGTGAATTTTCCTAGTCCATAGCTTGTTCAATGAACATTGTGAACTAACTTTGATGTTATGAGACTCTAACAGGACATTTCAAATCCAGAGAGCCTTTTTTTTTTCTTAATGTCTTTTTTGTCCAAGCTTGTGTAATTTCATGTTCTCGTGTTTTGTAGTACAGATTCAGGAATCAATTGCACAAATATTTCAGCGACAATCAGAAGCACTCAGTAAGAAACGCATATTAGGCAAGGATATGGCTGGTGGAATTCTAACAAGGTCGCGTCGCAACCATAGGAATGCTCATCTGAGGAGACAAAACGGTCGAGGAGATGAAGTGTCAGGATATGAAGATAATGAGGATGAAGATGATAATAACGAGGGCAAAGATTCATCTTCTGCTGATGAGAGATTTACAGAAGTTAGGCAAAGGAGGAAGAAGAGACATCCCACAGTTCGATCCTCTCAGCCTTCTTCGTCAATAGCTAATATAGATAGTGGATGCACTGATGGATGTGCTGAAAGTGATTTAGATATGAGCAGAGAAAACCGAACAGTTTCTCCTGGTCTTGTCTTGAACTCTGAAATGCTTGGTTGGGGTCGCGGTGGTGTACGTAGTAACACACGGCATGGGAGTGGTGGTGGGTCCAGCAATAAAAGTTCTAGGAGTAGTCGCTTAACGAAGTTAGTCAATTATCTGCGAGGCCTGGAAGAAAATAGTAATGAGGTACGGAACAATGTCTGTTGTTGTGGGTAGGTCGATGTTTGTCATACATACTCTTATCCTACTTTGATATCTTACTGGGTTTCGTTTGTTACTGGCAAATGAAATTTTTTTTAGTTTCTTGCATCTCTCTGGACACTTTAACCACTTGCTGTGTGTCAATGATCCCCATCCCTCCTGGTTCACAATCACCATCTTCTTATGAAGACCTGTTCTTCATTGCAGTTAGATGTCCATCTTCTTCTTATTTCAGTGGATAAAGAAAGTACTCCAAGTTTGCAGCAGCCTCATCTCCACTGCCGTCCAAGTTTGACTGTTGAACAATTACGTGAAGTAAGTTCCATTTAATGACCTTACCCTTCAATGAAAGAGTTATTTCTGGATGATGTTTTGCTCAATGATTTTTCATGTCTCTAACAATTATCACGCTTTTTCTCCATTTTTGATGCATTGAAAACAGTATGTCTCTCGAAAGACACCTCTACAAGCAGATGAAGTTGAAATATTGTCGGTGAAAGATTGTCATAGTACCAGCGATGATCAATCGACCACAAATACTTCAATCTCAATTGAGGGTCCTGTCATCATGTCTCCTGTCTTCGATCCACTCAAATATGAGCTACAAATTTTGGAAGGCAAAGAAACTTTGGCAGAACTTCAAGCAGATTGCAACTATAGTAGCGACCACTTGGTGAGTAGTCAGTAATAACTTGGTTTATTTCTTGGACATCAATTATCGGAACTTAATTTTGAAAGTTGATTTGCTGGTTCACTGAATCCATCATCCTTTATCTGATTTCAGATTCTAGGATATCGCCGAAAGGGGCAGAGTTAACAAGTAACACCTGATACTTATACGCATATCTTTTTTTAACTTGGTATTCAATTTTCCATACCTTTTACTTTTAGTGATAGGAACATTTTTAATTATACCCTGCTGATACAATATGAGAGAATCTGTAAATATGAAATCCTGGAGGTTTTTGTTACAGCGTTCCTGTAGCTATGTTTCAGTTGACGTCGTGGAATGAGATAACATAATGGCTATGTTCAAGGTGCGATTTTTCATTCAGTGAAATTAATGAAGTCAAATTTTATCTTTTCTTCAAGGATGAAGCTGGCATTTCCAGGGTGTCAAAACTTCTGTAACATCCCACTGCTGAAAAGTCCATCTCATTTCAGCTGCTGTATTAAATATTAAGGACCTTGTTCTTGAATTTCTGCCGGAATGGATCGGCATCTACGGTAACAGAAATAACTTCATCCGTTTACATTGATGAGGAGAAATTAGAAAAAGGCAAAGCAAAAATCATGAAACTTGAGTTTAATTCACCTGGGGTAGAATAGATTATCAAAATCAGACAGTAGCCATGCTTTAACTGTTATTGTCCCTCTCAAGGCATTCATTTTTAATTGGGAACCTGGAGAATCCACTCTGTAATTGTCCGAGAGGTCTAATCATCATGATTAGGACCAATGTCAATAGTAAAGAGCTTAGAAGGAATTAGTTCAAATTATAGTGGCCACTTATATATGATTTAATATGTTATGAATTACCTTGGCATATACACGATATGAATGGATCGACTGTTGCTCCTCTAAGTTGGTTTCTCTTCTAAGAAATAAGAATTATTCTTGTTCATTGCTATTATGTTGTGTTAATCACAATGTAAGTCAGCGTGCTAAAAGAAAAGAATATTATTCATATTTATATATTCTATGATGAGGAAATAGTTTTATGTAAAGTTCATGAAATATAACATGACAGAATACTGTTTTTTTGTTAGTACAACATTGCGGGGTGGGGGTTCGAACTCATGACCTTCTGGTCAGAGGTCGGTTTGGCAACATAACAGAATACTTATTTTTAGTTTTGAATGTTGGGGACGAAAATATAATTTAAACAATAGTTTCGTAGGGATAGAGCTGTGATGGAAAAATTATTGAATATGACATGTAACTAATTGCATGTGCATGATTGATTTTGATTTTGATTTTTTTTTTTTTTTGAGTATATCAACTACGTCACGGGAGAGATTTGAAGTTCTAATTTAGAGTTAGTTTACTAGATGAAGGTGTTAATGCTGGTTGATAGAATTTTAATTAATTAATTTAAATTTTAATTAATTAATTTAAGTGCTCAATACTAAAGATAAGAAATCAAACCAAAATGAATTAAAATAATTTCAATTTGTTTAGAAACTAATCTAACTAATAGAATGCATACACTAACTTCACAAAGTTTATAAAAATAAAGATCCTCACAAAGTTCATGAAAATAGAGATCCACATATATGAATAGTAGCTGTTTTTTTTTTATTATTTTAAAATGTTTAAAGGAAATGCACTTCATCAAGGAACTTGGCCAAACACATGAAAATGAGGGAAAAGGGAATCCCAAACCATTTTCTCTTTATATACTAAGAGATTTCATCATCGAATTTCTCAATGTCCCTCATAGAAATAACTCTGGTATTTCTAAGGGGTCGTTTGTTTCGTGGAAATCCGAGATTTCCGTTGGACGGACATCTGGATTCCTACGTTTTTTTTACGAGAATCTAAGATATTCGAGAATCTTGAGATGCTCGGGTATCCTAGGATGCCCATATGGGTTTTGGATGCTCTTTTGAAACACGAGTTTCCAAGATTCCCCTGTCGAGAGCATCTACTTTTTACATTTTTCCATTCATTTTTTCTCCATATATTTTCTTTCATCAATTTTTTTTTAATTTTTAATATTTTATCATTTTTATTTTAATATTTCAAATTTATAATTAAAATAAATTAATGTATTCATAACTAATAAACAACTTTATGCTATTAAATATATTTGTACATTAGATTTACATGTAAAATAAATTGCAATTAAATTATATAATATATCCATTTATTTTTAAAATTTTGAAGGAATTACATTATTAATAATATTTATTATCATAAATATAATTTTAAAGCAACATTTTTTTTTACCAACTAACATATTTGTGATATTTTTCCTCTTAAAAAATATAATGTGATGATAGGATAAATAAATTTCACCAAGATAGCATAAACTATATGATTATCTTTTTCGAAAACTATTAAAGTTAAAAATGAAATATATATTAAGTTAATATGAATTAATTTATTATACAAAATAACATATAAAAAATAAAATTATTTAAAATAAATCTATGATATTAAATGAATTTATAAATTATATAAATATGCATATCTTCTTCTTTGAAACATTCTATAAATTTAACACATTCTCAAGAATAAATCGACACTCCAAATATTTTCAGATATCCTTATAAATTTACCTTCGAAACAAACATGAAGTTGTCAGACATTTAAAATTCCAAACATCTGAAATTTCATGCATCTATAGATATTTGACGTCTACCTTCTCAGAAAAACAAACGAGTCCAAAGATAATCTTAATTTTCTGGGCGATCCAACAAATCTTTCAATGTTCAGCCAGCGTTCCAGTTCCACCAAATTGATTCCAATGTGCAGTAGCTTTTTTATAAAAGCCAAAATTTACTTTGAATTTGCATTTGATACAACTATTGGATTTATTTCTATAATTGTCGTCTTTCAAAAAGTTAATTTGGAAAGCATGATAATTAAATCCATTCTTATATATATATATTTTTTTAAAATTAGGGGAGATGAATGCATAAATAAATATAACAAAAGATTTGTTTTCTTTTGAAAAAAATAAATAAAAGAAAGGATAAAACTTAAGTATTTAACCATTAACAGTGCTACTACTTATCAGTTACCATGATTACAAATTGGAAAGAGAGAATTACAAAGATAACACAAAAGTACATGTATTTTTATATATAGCATTGTGTATTAGGTTTAAAATTTAACAAAAATGACATAAATTGTAAACTTACACCAGATACTACTAATTAAAAATTATTTTTGTGACATTTTTGAAAAAAAGTAATGATATATTTATAAATACATGTCGTTTATTAGAAAATTTTCTGAATCCGTACTCATATGTTATTACATTAAAAAAAGTTTGATTTCGTTCGTCTTTACTTCAACTTTGTCGAGATATTTTGAGTTTGCAGTATGTCCCATCCAGTTTGAATTAATTTCTCTGCATCAAAATTATTTATCCTCAGCATCGCGAGCGGCAAAATTCCGGAGTAGTTCATTCATTCCTGTAACTCTTTAAACAACATTCCCACAATTTCTTTCTGTGAAGTTTTGTTGAATCTTCTTCTTCTTCTTTTCCCCAATCGCTGGTTACAACCCCAGTACAGGATCCTGTGGGTATTTTGAAAATTGGAAGAGGCCATGGAAAAGGGGTCGAGAAAATGGCGTTTCGAGAGCAACTCAGACCTGTTCAAGCCGCCGGGGATCTCAGCCAACGTAGTCTCCACCAGGCTGATGCAGAGCCTCAATGACGAAGACAAGAGGGTCGTCATTCCTCTTGGCCATGGCGACACCTCCTCCGTTCCTTGCTACCGTACTGCTGCAGCGGCTGAAGACGCCATCGTTAATGCCGTTCGCTCTGATGAGTTTAAACGCTATTCTCCTACTCTTGGTATTCCGGAGGCAAGAAGGTTTGTGCCATCATTATGAAGCTCTTCTTCGTTTTCTGCTTCCTATTCTTGTATCCATTGAGTTGAACATTGTGTTAATCGTGTGATTTAATCGATTTCAATCGGTAATTTTAGGGCAGTTGCCGATCATCTATCTCGTGATCTTCCGTTCAGTGTAGCGGCGGATGATGTTTATTTAACATCTGGGTGTATACAAGGGATTCAAACCATATTGACGGTTCTATCTTCCTCCCCAGGCGCCAATATCTTGCTTCCAAGGCCAGGGTTCCCCGTCTATGAGCTGCGAGCTGCTTTCGCCCACCTTGAAACTCGCCATTTCGATCTTATTCCTCAAAAGGATTGGGAAGTCGACCTCGACGCCATTGAAGCTCTGGCAGACGAGAAAACTGTTGCGTTGGTCGTCGTCAACCCAGGAAACCCCTGCGGGAGTGTCTACACAAGAGAGCATCTACAGAAGGTGAGTTCATCCATTTCCTGGCGGATAATTTGATCGAGAAAAGAGAGGGCCAAACTTCATTTGTGGTCTCCTTTCAGATTGCAGAGACAGCAAGAAAACTTGGGGTTCTGGTAATCTCTGATGAAGTGTATGCCAATCTCACTTTTGGCTGTAACCCATTTGTCCCAATGGGAGCATTTTCATCAATTGCCCCTGTTATCACCCTTGGATCAATATCTAAGAGATGTGTTGTACCTGGATGGCGATTTGGTTGGCTTGTGGCTAATGACCCACATGGAATTCTTCATCACTCTGGGGTCTGATATCTTTCTTTTGCATATCTGTTTGTGAGAAAGAATCGAAACCTTGCATCCTGTTTTTATGGTCTTTTGTCTTTGCTTAGATTGTTGAGCGCATCAAGAACTATATCAGTTTTGCGATGGTTCCTGCCACTATCATTCAGGTTTGTTTCAACTGGTAACATACATACATTGAGATGTAAACCAAAACTCCCTTGGTTTGTAACCTGTTGTGTGCGTTTATCAGGCAGCCATTCCTCAGATTCTGGAGACAACAAAGGAGGATTTCTTCTCCAGTATAAACAACCTGCTAAGAGAGGCTGCAGATACCTTTTGTGAGGGACTGAAGGAAATCCCCTGCATCAGTTGTACCAATAAACCAGAAGGTTCCATGTTTATGATGGTAAGGCCAAAACTAGAACATTGTTGGTCAATGTATATTTAACGTTTAGAAGCATTTGCTATGCATTTTATGATCAACCAATACGGATCATTCCAACGGTCAGAAAGACAAAGCTGTAAACTAAATCTTTGCGTTTTCCTATGTCGAATGCTGTCGAGTTGTGTGTAACCTGATCCCGACGTTTATGATCATCTTTGCCTTTTACAGTTAACAAAACAATTCCATTTGGTTGCAGGTGAAACTTGATCCATCCCTTCTGGAAGGCATTGAAGATGATATTGAGTTCTGTGTTCAGTTGGCTAGAGAGGAATCTGTCATTATTCTTCCCGGTAAGCTCTATAGTGGAACTTTTAGTTCAGTTTTGTTGCAGAAACTTGATCATAATTCATAGAGAAAGCAATCATTAATCTAAGTATAATTCCAGGCGCTGTGTTTGGGTTGAAGAATTGGCTGCGGATATCTTTTGCACTTGATATTGCAACTCTTGAAGATGGCCTCCGGAGGCTGAAAGCCTTCTGCCAAAGGCATGTGAGAAGCAGCAAAGCTTGATTAATTCAATCATAAGATGCAATAAGATTCGAATTAATAGCAGAACCATTTGCTGATTACATATAAAACTTTGCTAATTTCTCTGATGCTACCTTTTTTTTTTCTCTCTTTCTTCGAGTATATTCTCTAATGCTAGTTCTATTATGAGGATTTATGTTTTTTCATATAAAAGTATTATGGTGTTTGGTAATCTATTAAATAAGATACTAACAACAAGTTAGCCAAGCCTTGATCAAACAATATTTGTGTTTATGTTTGGTAATAAATTGGAAATGGAAACAAGAAACTTGTTTTTTATTATTTTCAAGATTTCTATACAATTTTGAAAATATTTCATAAACAAGAAACATAATTAGTTGCCAATAAATTTTTAAATGTTGATGTCGTTGAAAATGTCGAGGTCTTAAATTTATAGAAATATAGATGGAAATATTGATAAAATGCTAATGTCGATGTCAATGGATATTTATGTAAAAGTTATAAAAATTAAAAAATCATAAAAAAATATTTAAATTAACAAATGAATATTTTCCTATTTATAAACTAGTTAATATTATGTTTATCTGAGTGACATTTTGTTGATATTTTTTATATTTTGTCGATTTTTTTGAACTATGATGGAAATGTCGATTTATTCCTCATGTCAATATCAAACCCGTAGAAACATGGATATGTTGATGGAAATGTCGACGTTTCGATAGATATTTAGAACTATAGTTGCAAAATACTTAGATTTCTTAATAAAATTGGAAAATAGGAAATAGACCTTTACTTTTTTTATTTTCTCTTGCTTTGGCCAGCCACCTCAGGGTTATTTAAACCTCATTTTGAGACTTGTAAATGATTGGGAAAATGTTGAATGAAGGAAATTCTTTTTTATCCTCCATAGCTTTTTGATGAATGAAGATTGAGAGATATTTCTATTTTAAGTTCATTGTTGAATTTTGAGAGCATCGTTAAACTTATGTAATTTACTCGATCATTAATAGCATCAAGAAGTTTGAATCGTTTTAGTTAAAATATGAGAATCATGTTGTTTTAATTACTTAATCATTCATCAAAATATTATATATTATAGTAAAGACTAAAGAAAATAATTTATCTCAGCTGTGAAAGATGCAATTTGAATACAGAAACACTTTTTCATGCTATTTGGTCAATAATCTACATTCCTTAGTTTAGGGCACAAAATAAAAAATAAGATTTAACTCCTCCATTCCCTCATCTCGCTCTACCAAGCAAATTTGTAAAATTAATAAAGATGCTTCCATCTATATTATCCAAACAAGTAGAATAGGGGCTATTTTCCAAAATTTTAAGGGTGAGATTATGTAGACCTTGTCATTACACTACGTGAAAGTTTGATCGTAGTAGGTGAAGTTGGTTTTAACTCAATGGAGGTGGAAATTGACCCTGTTAGGGTACATGCAATGCTACCTAAGCAAAATATTGATTATAAGGCTCACAATTTTGAAAATTCTTCGATTGGTATACCAATTTTCTTCAATTTCATTATTGCTTTAAAAATAGGAAGGAAATCGCGTAGTCCACAAAATAGCAATAATGATGGTCGAAACAGAAAGACAAGGAATCTGGTTGGAGGAGTTGTCCATATGCATTTTAGTTGAAGTTTCTCGTTTGGTGCTTTAAGATAAGGCTATGTATAACTTAGGTGGTTTGCCGTTTGTTTTATTATGTTATCGTTCAAAAAATATATATATTACTGACAATGAGGGGGAGGAAAAGAATTTATAAACCTGTTATRTTAGCTTTTCATTAATTTTTTTTTTCTTGAACTGTTCTTTCGTTAAGATTACTAACCACGAACTAAATAAACATATAGTCTAAAATTTGAGGGTATATTTACATTTTTCTTGAATGCATAGAGACTAACCATATAGATTCACTACTTAACTAAAGATTATACGAGTAGTTGATATGTAAGTAAGACTGATTTGAACTCCTTAAAGAAAAAAAAGACTGATTTGAAAGTTCTAACATGAGTCTCTAATAAGATTGGATTTATCATATGATTTGAAAGTTCTTTGCTTCAAACATTCCTCGAAACAGACGACAAATTTTAAATTTGAATGCAGATAAGACATATCTGGTTGAATATAGTGTTCTTGGCATATAACTGGAATCGAACCCCTCTGCAACTGAATAAGTTCCAAACATTTGGTGATGGGGCAGCACTTGTTGAAGAAAATTTTTCGTGATTCCGATTTCTGATAATCAAAATTATTCCCCGGGACCGCCGCCACCGCCGGTGACTAGACTACCCTCTTTTCGCCATCTCTGTAGCAGTAGCAGCGAGTTTCTGAGATTTGCAACACGCCATGGAAAACGGGCCGATAGAATGGCGATTTCAAGGCAACTTCAAACGGAACGCGCCGGCGAAGCCCTCAATCGCCGTAGCCCTCGACAGGCTCAGGCAGAGCCTCGATAAAGACGACCAGAGGACTGTCATATCCCTTGGCCTTGGCGACCCCTCCATTTTTGCTTCCTATCGTATTGATTCAGCGGCTGAAGACGCCATCGCTGATGCTGTTCGCTCTACTAAGTTTAATTCCTACTCTCCCCCTCTTGGCATTCCCGAGGCAAGAAGGTCTCTCTATTTCACATTTTCTGCTCTCTTTTGTTTTCTTGCTTGGATTGAGTTGTGAGTTAGAAATTTTGTCGAGTATTTGAATTGATCAATTGCAATTGCTAATTTTAGGGCAGTTGCCGATCATCTGTCTCGTGATCTTCCCTACCGTCTACCGGCGGATGATGTTTTTCTAACATCTGGGTGTGTACAAGGAATTCAAACCATATTGACAGTTCTATCTTCCTCCCCAGGAGCCAATATCTTGCTTCCCAGGCCAGGGTTCCCCGTCTATGAGCTGCGTGCTGCTTTCGCCCACATTGAAACTCGCTATTTCGATCTTCTTCCTCAAAAGGATTGGGAAGTCGACCTCAACGGCGTCGAAGCTCTGTTGGACGATAAAACTGCAGCATTGGTCATCATCAACCCAGTGAATCCCTGCGGGAGTGTTTACACAAGAGCACATCTACAGGAGGTGAGTTCATCCATTTTATGGCAGATAATTTGATCGAGAAAAGAAAGGGCCATCGAGATATCCATGTATGAATTAAATTTATCCAATCTATCAGCTTTAGTTTTTGGATTGAGTGGTAGAATATTCTTTAACTGGTATTAGAGTTGGAGGTTCTATGTCCGAATCCTTATATGGTTATTTCCTCCCCATTCATAATGCTTTTAAGTTTAGTGATAGTTTATTCATGTTTTAACAAGTAGGACTTATTTTTGAACCTTATATTGTTATTTCCTCCCAATTTAATACTTTATAGTTTATTGAGACATACTTCATTTTTAACTTCATTTTTTATTTCCTTTCAGATTGCGGAGACAGCAAGAAAACTTGGGGTTATGGTAATCTCTGATGAAGTTTATGCCAATCTCAATTTTGGCTGTAACCCATTTGTCCCGATGGGAGCATTTTCATCAATTGCTCCTGTTATCACTCTTGGATCCATATCTAAGAGATGGTTTGTGCCTGGATGGCGTTTTGGTTGGCTTGTGGCTAATGACCCACATGGAATTCTTCATCACTCTGGGGTCTGATCTCTTTCTTTTGCATGTTTGTCTGTGAGAAAGAATCAAAATCCTTGCATCCTGTTTTGATCTGTTTTTGTGGTCTTCTTATTTGCTTAGATTGTTGAGCGCATCAAGAGATATATCAATTTCACAATGGTTCCTGCCACATTCATTCAGGTTTGTTACAAGAAATAGAGATGTAAACAAAAACTTCCTTGGTTTCTTAATTTGTTGTATGCGTTTGTCAGGCAGCCATTCCTCAAATTCTGGAGACAACAAAGGAGGATTTCTTCTATAGGATAAACCGCCTGCTAAGAGAGGCTGCATATACATTTTATGAGGGACTGAAGGAAATCCCCTGCATCATTTGTCCCAATAAACCACAAGGCTCCATGTTTATGATAGTAAGGCCTTAACTAAAACACTCTTTGGCAATATATCTTCAATGGGTTTAGAAGCATACTCCCACCGCATGTCTTTTATTATCAACCACCACGGATTGGTCTAACGGTTGAAAGACAAGCTGTAAACTCAAATATGTTTTGTGGAAGTCATGTGTTTGTGTTAAATGTTCTTCGCGTTTTCCTGCATCCAATGACGTCGAGACATGTATAAATTGATCATCTATGCATTTTTACAGTTTAACAGAACAATTCCATTTGGTTGCAGGTGAAACTTGATTTGTCCCTTCTGGAAGGCATTGAAGATGATTATGAGTTCTGTGTTCAGCTGGCTAAAGAGGAATCTGTGATTATTCTTCCTGGTAAACTCTGTAATGAACTGAACTTGCAGTTCAGTTTTTGTTGCATAAAATTAATCATAATTCATAATAAAGCAAGCAGTGATTTAACTATAAGGTATTATATTGTTAATCCAGGTGATGTGGTTGGGTTGAAGAACTGGTTACGGATATCTTTTGCAATTGATATTGCAGATCTTAAAGATAGCCTTCGGAGGATAAAAGCCTTCTGCCAAAGGCATGTTCGAATCTGTCAAGCTTGATAAATTCAATCAAAAGATGCAATAAGATTTTTTGATGTCTTCCAGCTTACACTAATGGATCCCTAAAGATGTATAAGATTTGAAATAACAGCTAAGTTATGTTTTTTGGTATAACAAATGGGGTAGGAGATTCGAACTCATGACCTCGATCAAAAATTAGTGTCAACTATCACTGAGTTAAGCTCATCTTGACTAATAGCGGAGCTATGTTGATAATTTATCTTGCAAAACTCTTTTGAGTTGTTTTTAGTTCAATAACATGTAGAGATTCGAATCTTTGATATTTTAGCAGAGAATGCATTTCTTAATCAAGCTTATAAAATTTATTCTTTTTTCCATATAAAAATATGACGACGGTCGGTAGGCAGTAATATATTAAATATAGTTTGCAAGGTATTGTAAGAGCGTATTTGGAAATTGGAAGTGATTATAGCACGACTAATGTCAAAATCACTGCTATATTTCAAAACGATATGTTTGGCAACAATTCACAAAAAAAAAAAAGAAATTAGTTTTTGAAAATGATTATTTCACACTGTTTTCATTTGAAAACATGAGAAATTTTATTCTTTTATTTCAAAATGTTTAGCTGTTTTTGGAACGATTACGTATTATTAGAGAAAAGGTACACCCAGTGACCCACACCCTATTGTAATGAAAAAGGTACACCCACCCCACCCCCAATTACCGCCTATCATGTTTAGTTCATGTTACTTTTATTTATTTATTATTATTTTATTTTTATTTAGTTCAACAACTACTTTTATTTAAGTTTATTGAGATTGTTTTGTTTTATAAAGGGTGTATGAACTGAAGTATTTGTTGGTGTGGGTCACGTGTTTGTTTGTTTGTTTGTCCATTAAGAATCTCCCAATCTCCCGCCATGGAAAATGCATCTTTCATGATCTTCCGTGACTGTGAGCGCTCTTCTTAATCATTGGAATCGGATTCCTAATTAGCTCACACACAGAGATGAACGGCACCGGCACCGGCACCGTGTCCGAGTCGGAGCAGTACTGGAAGTTCCGGGGGAATGAGGAGGTGAATAAATCCTCCATTTCCATCCGCGGTACCCTTAACCTAGTCCGTAAGAACGTGAATGGCGACGATCCACGGCCCCTGATTCTGTTCGGCCGCGCCGACCCGTCGGAGTTCCCCTGCTTTCCGACCTCTCCTTCCGTCATTGAAGCCCTCGCTAATGCCGTCCTCTCCTCTAATTTCAACTCTTATCCTACCTCCCACGGTCTTCCTCCCGCCCGGAGGTAATTAACCAACCCTACTCTACTCTCTTTCTCTTCTCTCTCCCGTCTTAAAATACATTTTTAATCGTTGAATTTGGAGATAGGTTTCAAAAATAAGAAAACAAAGAACATGTATATTAATGATATGTAGACTTCATCAATGATACAAAACATATCATACTCATGATTTATTTTATATTAGTATAGGGTGATAGATTTTATCAATAATACAAAAATTGTGTATATTTATTAAGGCATGTATTCTAAATCAAAGGTCGGAAATTTCATCTAGATGTTGTTGAATAACTATAAAATATATATTGTATTAGTATATCGATGATATAGTATGTTTTATCACATAAATAATATATCAACAACTCATGAGAGAAAAAAAAATTGAGATATGTATCTAAATTAAAAACATCTCATTCCATTATTATATGTTTTACCTTCATCTTTCTCCCATACTATTTTAGAAAAATAATTAGGTCCTCACTTATTGAGACCTGTCTTGTGTTGAACAACATTAAATATTTGACGATTAAGAGAAAGAAATTTTTACAGTATGTTTAATAAAAATAAGAGAAGTGAGTCGCGAAGAATGAGTCTTCTCGTATTTTTTTCTAATTACTAATAGAGTTGTGCGATACATTAAAAAGTATGATATGCAATAGAGATTAGGATGAGCTGCTAAATCAAATTGGTAGAAATTCTTGTAAGTGAATCCAATCAAAACGTTTTTAAGACAGCAAACACAAAGAAAAAAACAAGATTCTAGTAGTAGGTCGAAATAAAGAATAAAAGAGTCTACCAGAAATTGAAAAGATTGAAGTCAACTCCTTACAAATATGAGATAAAGATGAGGAGATGTATATTCATAATTGGTCTTTTTTTAATAATCAGTTATCAATTATTCAATGACGATCAGAATAGAAATAGGTTGATTATGATTTTTCTACCAATAAATAAAAGAAAATAGTTCAGTTCGTTGTCGGGTAACGACCAAATTTTGTCCTTGCAACCGATTA